CCCTAATCTTGTCTGACCTTTATTGTAAAAATATCACATTACTTTCAAACGTTTTATACACTGAACTCTGTAACTTGTGTGCTTCAGGCTAACTGAAGAAATGGCAAAGTCAGCTTTCAGATGAAAACAACCACTAAACACCACTAGACATTTATTGTTGTTGTTGCTGTTGTTGTTAAGTACCACTGAGTCAGTTCCGACCCATAGCGACCCTGTATATGGTTTCCAAGGAGAGTTGGTGAGCTTGAACTGCCAACCTTGTGCTCAAACCAACCTTGCAGCCTAGCACATTAACCTACAGCGCCACACCAGGACTCCACCAGAACATACTAAATGCTAAAAATTATGTATTTTTAAACAAGGAGGTCTCTCCTGAGTCAAGTAAAATATGTCTGGTCCCAACATATCAGTCTGAAGGGTCATTGGTATCAAGAGTCTGCCAGCAAAGACAGAGCGTACCAAGCGCTTAAGAAGAGATACATGTAGCAGAAATGGAAAGAAAAAGGAGTAGGTCTTTAAATAAGATTTACAGATCCAGATAAGGAATCCATAATCTATCTACCATCAGATTTCAAAGGCACTTTTTGCAGAATCTGTAAGGTCTCCAACAAGCTCAGTTGGAAAACCACTATACTTGCTTATATTTGTAATCCCTTTCAACTTAGTTGTTGTTAAATGCTGTAGAGTCGGTTCTAACACACAGCGACCCTGTAGGGTTTACAAAGAGCAGCTAGTGACCTTGAACTGCCAACCTTGCAGTCCAGCGCACTAACCAACAGCACCACACCAAGACTCGCTTTCAAGTTTCAGATTCTTCCATTCTAACCTCTACTTTAACACATACTTAAATTATTAATCACCCTTCCAAATTCACTAAGATTATATTTCTCACTAGCATAGGAAGAATGATTTGCCATATGTGATATTTTCCCCCACTGTACTTGGTTTAAATTTAATCAAAATTATTAACGATATGCTACAAGTTTACAGAGAAGACCCAAATATTCACATAGAAAGACAGAAAAAACGAAAGGCAGAGTATTAGCACATTCCAGTTTCTAGAATGAATTCAGGGTATTCTCCTCATTCTGCCAACTCCTCCACTGAATAGCAAAATACACCTATATAGAAAAGCACTCAGGAATTCAGCTTTTTGGTGCAAAGAGCAAAGATGTTAAGGCCATTTAATTAAGTATGAATGTTTCCTTGTTATAGCCTTCTTTCTAAGAGTGTCTCATTTCCACTTAGCTTGGTCCATCTCCCACATGGAACAGAAGCTGAACCCAAGTGGGTTAGGAATCATAGCAAGGTTTGGAGGAAGTGAGTATGAAGTAGTAGACCTTAGGTAAGGTGGTCAAAATTTAAAAGGAACATGGATTTTATTCATCTCTGTTTTTCCTTGAGTTAAACTTTCTGTGCACTTATTATCACCTTACACATCAACAGTTAACATTTGAATACAGACATCAGGGGAAAATAACTAAGGCAGCTTACAGAGGCCACATTTGGTGTAGTTCATTGCAACATACCTATTTTAAGCAACATGAATCTCACAGCTCTACATGGTAAAGCCTCACTCATTGGGACAGAGAGTTTGGAGCCAAGGCTCTATCTAGTCAGTAACACCAGGAGTACATTTGCCTGCTCATCGTATCAGATCTCTCTCACATGAACCTAGTCAACTTTCTGTGGCCAAGGTTTGTAGCTAGTTGTTATGAATTGATTTGCATCTCTCAAAAAGACATCTTGAAGTCCTAACCCTTGGTATCTCTGAGCATGAATTTTGCAAATCCTATCCACTAACTTGAGGTCATATTGAAATAAGAATAGGTCCTAGTCTCATCTGAGCAGTGTCTCATTAAAGAGGAGATCAGAAACAGAGTTAGAGATGGGGTAGATGTCATGTGAGAATGCACGCAAACGCCACGGAAAGCTAGAAGAGAAGCATGGAACAGTTCCTCTCAGAGACCCTCAGAAGGGCTCAACATGGCTAATATCCTGATGTGGGTGTCTAGCTTCCAGAATTGTGAGACTAGATTTCTGATTTTATAAGCTACTCAGTTTGTGGTATTTTGTACGCTACAGCAGCCCTGGGAAACGAAGATACGCTAGTTAAGGATTCAGAGCTCAGTCATCTCGTCTTCTGGTTATAACTTTCTACATCAAACAATAGATATTAGAGAAAATATATATTTTAAAAAAGAAAAATCATAAAATTTGGCTAAGGTAAAAATAACAAATGCTAAGTGTGGCAAATATAAATTTACTAAGATTGTATTTGATAGGCTTTCTTGTACATACTTAAATTTCTTTTAACATCAATAATTTAAAATGTTAACAAAACCACCACAAAAGTACTACCTAAATCTTAGCTAGTAATTTGTTATACACTACCATAAATTCATGCTTTGCATGTTCTACTCAATTTAAAAACTCTCAAAGGGAGTTAATATTAAAAACTGTTTTATATACCAATTTTTAAGAAAAAAAAGATTAATTTTGCAAAATACATTGATACTGCAATTAAAAAAAAACATTAAGCTATTATCTGCTTCTCAATTTCTTTACATTCATTAATAATCAAAAGATGTATTATACAGCACACCACTTATAGAATAAAAAGGCTATTACACAGGGGGAGGGTTAAATGAAGCACATTAGTTGGCCCTCCAATTCACAAGAAAATTTCTTCATTTACAAAAATCCAACTAATTTTATTTCATAAGATCTGATACCAGGGTAACTTGCAGTTTTCAATTTCACAAAACATACTAGTGCTACAAAATAACCACTTAGTCAATGTATTTAACTGAATGCCTAACGAGAGTTAGGCACTGTTATAGGTACAAGGGGCAGAAACAGAGACGATAAAAATATCTGTCCTCAGGGAACATGAAGAGATACCATAAAGTTGCATGATAAAAAATACAGAGAGAAATTACTTCATGGTTTTAAGAGGCCAACTGCCAAATAAATCTTCACTCCCCATATGTAATATTCTACTTAAGAACAAAGAATGGAAATCCAGCCCTGGAATCTCTTACCTTAAATCTAAGCAACCACTTAATGCATAAATGGAGCAAATAAAAGGGTAAGGAGAAAAAGCATTGAAAGGTTAGTTGGAACTTCAGGATGTGAAGAGAAAAGAAAAAAACAAAAAACAAGTTAAGCATTCAGCATTAACAAAATAATGTTTCAATAGATCATAGAAAGAGTGGTTAAAGCAGAATGTGTCATGAACAAGAGATTTTCTGATGAAATTATTTGACACTGTTTTATTGAAAAACCTTAATTTTATTAAAGATTGCTTCAAATTAGTGGCCCTTAAACACTACAAGTCCAACAATGAAGGGAATACAGAGTTCCAAAGGATTAAATAACATGTTACTTTGAGGACTGAAATAAGAATTGGGGTAGGGGAGAGTGAAATTCTCTTTTTATTATACAAGTTGTTGTTACATGCCATCAAGTCATTTCCAATTCATAGAGACCCTGTATAGGGTCTTCCAAGGAGCAGCTGATGACTTTGAACCGCTGACCTTGTGGTTCAAACCAACTCTATGGTCCAGTGCTTTATCCCATAGCACCACACCAGAACTCCATTATATAACTAGTCAAGCAGAAATATGTTTCATATTCTAAGTGCTTTTCTGGCATAAGATTGACAGCACCCTAAAAAATAGTAAAAGTAGCTGTTTGCCTTGAATAAATCTCAAAAGATTTCCCAAGCTAGAATACATTTATATTACTATCCAATTTTACAACCTATTTTAACATCAAACTACAAGGTCAGTGGTTCAAACACACCAGTCACTTCTCAGAAACCCTATACAGGGTCGCGATGAGTCGAAACCGACTCAATGGCACTTAACAACAAGTATAGCAATCTAAATGCAAGTAAGAATCAATAATGAAACCAAATATCAAATTCCAAATAATAGCGCTTATATCGAAACTGAGGAATAAGAAATTAAGTACATTTACACTGTACATTTTCATTTTCTTTTACCTATACCAACATAAAACTTAGATTTCAACTGATTTCTAGCCATAATACTTTAGTTACTTCAATTATTATTATAATACTTACAGAAATATTACAATATGCTTTTATCAGAAGTAAGTCAATTTCATGAGCAACACATTTCATGAGCAAATTTCATCTACAGGAAGATGGAATATACAGGTGTATGCATATATATATTAATATGTACACTATATCTACACATGTATATAGATTTACATTTCGAGGCTTTAATAAGTTCGTGGAAAAATGTTAATTAAAAGATAAAGGAACTTTTCCACAAACTTTGAAGCCCCCCCTCATATATATTCAAAGTCATATTTGGTATATCATTATCTTTCATATTACTGATCAGATGTAAATTTTAAAATACTTAGCTGAAGCTCTGAATAGTTTTTTAAAGTACTAAGACCAATTTAAATGAAGTTTATACGCCTTTTGATTATGGTATGTTGTACATATACAAGGCACTCAAATACATTTTTAAAAAGATAGCTAAAAAAATGACTCAAAAGCAGTGGAAATATTAATTCATATATTTTATCCATATTATTCTTACACCAAAAACTTGAGATAACGTTTTTTTGAAAAATTCAAAGTACATATTTATTTGTAAATATTGTTTCTAAAAACTAATGTCGAAAATTCTGCTGATAAATTTTTGAGGTAAGGTAAATTCTTCAATAACATATTGAATACTTTTATAATTAGTCATATTAAATCATTAAGATTACATATCACAACTTACATACCTGAACTAAATGAGGTATTATCATATCTGATTAAACAAATGCATTTCATTTAAAGATGACTGACTCAAAACTTGAGGACACAGCACTAAGTAAAAGAGGTAAACCAGTTACATTGCAAAAATCTTCAAAGCCACAAGGGGCCCCAAGACTGGTCTTTTAAAGAAGGAAAGATAAAAGTAACTTTTGGTGACTGGTTTTAAAAGCTTGACAGAAAGTATACCTACCTTCACTCCGTGTCCAATGTCATCTAGAACTGTATAATCAATAGGTTTTCTAATATAACGAACTGGGCGCTCAAGGTTGGCTGGAGCAATAATCTTATGTGTCCGTGAAGTGTTTTTATTGGTAGTCAAAATACCAATTTCTCTTCTTGCAACTTTCTCTTTATGAATGTCAACTGTCTGTAAAATATAATATAGACATAACACAAAAATGTGTAACTCTAGTATCCAGAAAAATAAAAATATAAATAGGCTAAAAGTCTAATATTGCTATCCAAATTATCAACTGTATTTTCTGAATTTTCTCCTTTCTGTACTACTGATTATCTCCATTTAAAAATTAAACCAGGAGTTGGCACACAATGCCTCACAGGTCAAATCTGGCCCACCACTATTTTTAAAAACTTACTAGACAGAGTTCATGTTTTAAGAAATGTTAGGTTTACAGAAAAAGTATGTAGAAAGTACAGAGGACTGTCACTACTCTCCTGTCCCATGCATACTGTCTCTTGTATTATTAATATTCTGCATGTTAATAATAGAAGAAGCATGTTTGTTAAAGGCTAATGTAACAGCGGGACCTTACCCAAAGAAGCAGTGATGCCTGAGATGAAGGCAGAGACGATGAAGTGGAGAGATGGAGCAGCTGGGGGCTTTAGACACAGAGAGGGAGAGGGGCTGTGTGCTGATGACTTGGGGGAGGGAGGCAGGCTTGTAGTGTATACCCTTTGGTTGGTTGATGATGCATGGAGGGGATTGTAACCATGGCCATGAAACAATATACGGTAGGATGAATGTAAAACTAATGTTCTCGCATGTAAACTCTCAGATAATTCACAATAAAACATTTTTTTAAAAAAGAGTAATAGGAGTTCAAAATCAGGATTCCTACTGCTGGCAGGAATCTACAAAGTCCAGTCCTCTAATTTTGCAGAGAAGATAATTAAGTATACTTATAAACCTATTTTCTTTGACCAAAGTTATTAGAAAAAGAAAATAAAAAGCTGATGTAACATACAAAGGCATGTCTGTTACAACCAATGAACAGATATTGATATAGTATTATTAACTTAAGTTCATGTTGTTGTTGTTAACTGCCGTCGAGTTGATTCCGACCCATAGCAACCTCGTAGAGGGTTCCCAAGGAGCAGCTGGTGAGCTTGAACCACCGATCACGCAGTTCAAATGACTTTGCAGTCTGGCGCATTGGTCCATAGTTTTCATCTAGTTAATTTCGACTCTTGTTGATCCCATGTGTGTCAGAGTAGAACTGTGCTCTCTAGGGTTAAATGGCTGGTTTTTTGGAAGTAGACAGTCAGGCCTTTCTTCTGAGGTATCTCTCAATGGACTCAAACTGCTAACCTTTGGTTATCAGCTGAGTGCATTCACCATTTGCACAACCCAGGGACGCCATAGTTTTCATTACTGTTATTAATTACACTGAATCAATTCCAGCTCATGATGACTCCATGTGCACTCTATTGCTTTCTTTTCTATAAAATTTTCAAGGCTGTGACCTTCTGAAAGCAAAGGCACCTCTAGGGTTCACAATTTGTGCTACGCTATGGATTTTGATAACTGCATAGTGCAATATGGTCAGCGATTCAAATTTACCAGCAGCTCCTTGGAAACCCTATAAAGGATCGCTATGAGTCAGAATCACTTGGATGGCACTTAACAACATAATGTAATGTGTCCACCATTGGGGAAATTCTTCCATGTAGGAGACCTGGACTTGATTCCCTGTCAGTGCATCTACTACACGGCCACTAGCCACCCACCTGTCAGTGGAGACTTATGTGTTGCTATGATACTGAACATGTATAAGCAGAGCTTACAGACTAAGATGGAATAGGAAGAAAGGCCTTGTGATCGACTTCTGAAAACCAGCCAATGGAACCTAATCTGCAACCAACATGGGGATGGTGCAGGACTAGGAGAGTTTCATTCTGCAGTGCACAGAATCAATGTGATGGCAGCTAACAATAATAGTAATAACAAAAATGCCCTGTGTCCATCTATCCATCCCTTACCTCTCCCTAAGTCCATGGCAAACACAATGATTTTTTTCCAAATGTTTATAGTTTTACTTTTTCAAACTGTCATATAGGTGAAATTGTATATTATACAGCTTTTACAGATTGGCTTCTTTCGCTTAGCAATATGCATTTAGGGTTCCTCCATGTCTTTTTACAGCTTGATAGTTCATTTCTTTTTATAGCTAAGTACTACTACTCCATTGTATAAACATACCTGTTTGTTTACTCATTCACCATTGAAATCCATGGTTCCATAATTTGGACATCAAGTGTAACTGGGTTAAATGTTTCTTATTGAAAATACTATGTACATTTTGGAAACAAATACTTTATATCAGAGAGGTGTTTTGTAAATAAGTTCTAAAAACCTATAGCTTCTCTCTTCATTCTCTTTTTATTGCCTTGCATAGGGCAGACATTCTAATTTTAATTAAGTCAATTTATCAATTTTTCATTTTTTGAACCATGCTTTTATTGTTTTAACTAAAATGTCAACATAAAATCCAAGGTTACAATTTCTCTTATGTTATCTTCTACAAGTTGCTAAGTTTACATTTAAGTCTAAAGATGATTTTGAGTTAATTTTCGGTGAATGATGTAAGCTCTATGTCTATATTCTTCTTCTGCATGTAAATGTGCAGTTGTTTCACCACCATTTGTTGAAAAACACAATCTTCTCTCCACTGAAGTTCCTTTGCTCCTTTGTTGACTATATTTGTATGGGTCTATTTCTGTGCTCTACAAACAACAAGGCACCAGAAACTGATGGAATAAAAATTGAAATCTTTCAAGAAAGTGAGGCGGCACAGGAGGCACTCACTTATCTCTGCCAAGAAATTTGGAAGACAACTATTTGGCCAAGTGATTGGAAGAGATCCATATTTGTGCCCATTCCAAAGAGAGGTGACCCAACAGAATGTGGAAATCATCGGACAATCTCTTTGATAACCCATGCGAGTAAAGTTTTGCTAAAGGTAATACGAAAACGGCTGCAAGTATACATCGACAGAGAACTTCCAGAAGTTCAAGCCAGATTCAGAAGAGGCCATGGAATGAGGGATATCATTGCTGATGTGTGATGAATCTTGGCTGAAAGCAGAGACTATCAGAAAGATGTTTATTTAACTATGCTTTATTGACTACACAAAGGCTTTCTATTGTGTGAATCATGACAAGATATGGACAATATTGCCAAGTATAAGTATTCCAGAACACTTAATTGTGCTCATGCGGAATCTGTACCTGGACCAAGAGGCAGTTGTTAGAACAGAACATGGGAACACTGAATGGCTTAAAATTAAGGAAGGTGTGCCACAAGTTTGTATTCTTTCATCATACTTACTCAACCTGTATGCTGAGCAAATAATACGAGAAGCTGGGTTCTATGAAGAAAAACGTGGTGTCAGGATTGGAGGAAGACTTATTAACAATCTGTGATATGCAGATAATACAACCTTGCTTACTGAAAGTGAAGAGGACTTAAAACATTTACTGATAAAAAACCACAGAGCACAGCCTCCGGTGTGGATTATATCTCAATGTAAAGAAAACAAAAATCCTCACCACTGGACCAATAAAAACAACATTCATATCAATGGAGAAAAGATTGAAGTTGTCAAGTACTTCATTCTTCTTGGATCAACTATCAACACTCACGAAAGCAGCAGTCAAGAAATCAGAGGACATAGTACATTAGGCAAATCTGCTGCACAAGACCTTTTGAAAGTGTTGAAGAGCAAAGATGTCAGCTTGAGGACTAAGGTACACCTGACCCAAACCATGGTATTTTCAATAACTTCAAATGCATGCCGCTTTGGAGAGTGAATAAGGAAGACTGGAGAAGAACTGATGCCTTTGAGTTAGGTGTTGGAGGAGAATACTGGAAGTCCCATGGGCAGCCAAAAGAACCAATAGATCCGTTTTGGAAGAAGTGCACCCAGAAAGGTCCTTGGAGACCAAGATGGCCAAACTTCGTCTCTCATACTTCAGACACATTGCCAGGTGAAACCAGTCACTGGAGAAGAATATCATGTTTGGTAAGTGGAGGGTCATTAAAAAAGAGGAAGACCCCCAACAAGATGGATTGGCCAAGTGGCTGAATCGATGGTTTCAAGCATGGCAACAGCAGTGAGGTTGGCTCAGGACTGGGTATTGTTCCATTCATCTGTTCATAATGTCGCTATGAGTCAGTACCGACTCGATGGCACCTAACAACAACAACATTCTTTTTCTACTGATATATTTGTCTATTGCTTAGCCATTACCACACTGTCAGGATCACTGTAGCTTTATAGTAAATCTTGATGCTAGCTAAGATCTAACTCGTGATTTAAATATTGGGTTGGCTACTCTGGGTATTTTGCCTTCCCATATAAATATTAAAAGCCTTTAAATAAGATTTTTTTTATACTTTGAAAATTATAAATAAATTCATACACCAATGTTTTAACACAGTGCTGGATTTATGAACATGTGAGTAAAATCATACCATACAAAAGTGTACAAATACAGTTTTAAAAAAGTATTCTTGAGGTTGAGGACTTCCGGCACTTCCTGACCAGGCAGCTCAGGTAGGGCAGTCTCAGGGAAAAAGGGAAGAATTGCACATAGGAAATCTCTGTCTAGCAGACAGCTAGCCTTTGAACAAACATAAGATCTTATATTTCAACATTCTGAGCTCGTTTATTTAAAAGATCAAATTGCTGAGGAATTACAGGCATTTTGAGCTTTTGTCTGCCTGCACGCAGCTCCCGCTTCCATGCCTGCACCAGTGAGGTCCTCTGCCCCCTGCAGACCTTGGAATGAAGGGCTAGAGCAACCCCACTTAAAAGGCTGCATTTCCAGACAACAGGAAGCATAAACTAACAAAGCCAAACAAATAGAAAGGGATATCGGAGCAGGTATCAGGAAATTCGGGGAACCCATGGTACAGAGAGACTGAGAAAGGCATCTTTTACGTCATCAAATACAGACACTACCTCCCTGCAGCCATTACCCCCAGC